GGCCTGCCAGCACCGCGCCGCGCCCGCTCCGAGCCCCCCTTCCTGACATTGTCGCCGGATCGGCGGCATCTCAGGGCAGCCGACAGAGGGGGAGCCGGATGTCGAAAGGACGGTGGGATTCCCGCTGCCTTGCGCAGGGCATCAGGGCAGCCACAGGCAGCTTTGACCGCACAGGACAGGGGATTCTAAGATTTGCAGTTATTTTTATTTATTTTTAGGGGCCCTCAAAGGCCTAGTGCTGTCCTGTGAGAAAAAGCGCCTGCATCGGCCCTTAGCTGAGCTGCCGCAGAAACCCAGGAGGCTTGACAGGAAAGGCAGGAAAACGCCAGGGGCCGGAGACTGGGATTTTGCAAATTTACTATTTTCTCCTTTCTAGTAGTACCGACGGTTAGGATTTGCAGTGAGGCGCAGAGCCGCCGAAAAGTGGTCTGATTTCCTTTTTAACCATAATGTCAGTTAATAGGTAAATATTCTGGGGAAATGCAAGCACTTTGAACATTTAAGATTAAGGAAAGCAGCAAGGTTTGGGGGGAAATAAAATCTTTGTAGACATCTGAATTCGTAGGCAACAGCAGAGACCTAAGCCCCGCAGCCTGATTTGTTTTTACATACCGGTATGTATTTTTCTATTTCTAGCGTTCAGACAATGGATTTTTAATTGAAATAGTGCACCAAAGTGATGAAATATTTCAGGGTTTTTTGATAGGTGACTTCACCTGTATAATAATCAGATCCTTCATGTTGCTACTTGTTTAGAGTCTTTTCTAAAAATGAAAATACAGACACCTTAAATCACTCACTGTTTCCCTTAAAATAAACAGCCCTTGGATAAAGAACATGAAAAATACATGTTGGAGGTGTAGCTGAAGCTGTATTGTAACACAGGGGTCAGGATTATAGCTCAAAAAGCAGATGCGAGTATCTCTCAGGTTTAGCTTCCATACTAAAAGTCCGTATTTATTATGGGAATTGACCTTAACAGGAAGGGGACATGATCTTGTAGGATCTCCCATTTTGGAACTAATACGCTATGTTGTTTCTTATTTGATGGTCTTAAAAAGCAGCTAACTGACTTTGAAAGCAGCATTTTCAAGCACCGTCACAGTGTAGGAAACGGGAGAAGCAAAATTGTCCTGTCTGAGAGATCCCTAAACAATGGGTCTTAATTTTAATTCTTTCCTCTCAAACAGCGAATGCTCTTATCACCATCCCACCATACTCATTCCCTGCTTATTTAGTGATTTTTTTCTGTGTGCAATCCACCCCCAAGTGACTTATTTCTCGCTCTGAACTGTCTCGAAGATACTTAAAGATGACAAAATGCAAGAACTCAAAGTGCTCACTCTAGCTGGGGCGACCTGACGCTGCAAGAATAAACCTGGAGATCTTACGTCTCACTATTCATTTTGGATTTATGAATTCTTTTTCTATGGTAGCGCAAAATCAGAAAGTTAAAAAAAAAATCAGATTGTCGATCAACTGCAAAATGTAATACTGTCCTCCCTTGCGAAACATCACGGTCATTGCGGGATCAAAGGGGCCACCTGCCTCCCCTCGCTGCGGATCCCGCGGTGCCGGGCGAGTCCTTCGGGCCGTGGGGTCGCGGCCAGGTCGCGGTGTCTGCGCTCGGTGGCGGTGCCTGCGGGACAGCGTAGCGGGCAGTGTCGGCCACTTACCTTGCTTGACAACCACAACTGTTGCAGGCAACGCTTCCTCCGCCCGCCGCCCAGTCTCGCTGCGCCGGGTCCAGCAGGGAACAGCTTCCCTCGCTCGCCGCTTCTTCGTTGTCCCTTAGGACGCGGAGATTTTGAGGGACGGTGCCTTGCTTTCCCCGGTGGTCCCCCTCGCTCTAAAGCCTTGCAGATGGACGGACGCGCGCTGGCAGCCTGGCCGCGCTGAAATTCGGAGCAAGACGAGCTGGCTCCGGAAGCCTTGCCCCTGGAACCAGCCCAGTCTCGCGTGCGGCCACTAGATGGCGCATGACACCCACTGGTGTCGGCCACCCTGGGGTCCCATCTGTCAGTAACTTCCCAAATGTGTTCTAAAACCATTCCTCCGAGCCCACGTCACTGCTGGGTTATTATTACCATTTCGCTCTTTATGTGGAAAGCGACGTGGTTCTGATTTCTATTTTGGAAGCGGGGGAGTCTTCTCTGGAGGAGCCTGTGTCAGGGAGCGCGCTGTGGCGTTTGCTGTGCGTCCGAGTCAAACTTCGGCGCTTGCGGCTGGGTTAAGACGCAAACGTGAAACCTGGGTGTGTATCCTACCCCTTATCACCAAATGCTTCAGCAAACACTGATGGGGTGTCTGCTGCACGTGAAAGGCTACTTGGGCTTCTAAAATGTTGAAAGTGCATTGTATTCTTAGAAAATAATACAAGTCTCAGGAAATAAAGATGCCAATTTTATGTCGTAAATTGGGACGTCAATATAATGTGACAACTAAATACGCTTCTGAAACTCCAGCAGCTTAATTTTTAATGTAGAGTATATTTGGATGTCAGGGACAACACAAATAAATTACACAAAGCACTTTGTAAATTCTCTTTTCCCCTAAATATGGTCCCACTTGTCTTAATCAATGTAAACTCCTATAAAGAAAATAAGCTCATAAAATATACAAGCTCTATAGTGGGGTCAGTTCTCTCTCTGTGTCCTTTGTCACCAAGTACAAGAATGAAGTATTTCATGACATAGTTATTTTTTTAGCCTACTTGCTGATAAGCCTAAATAATAATGATAGCTTTATTGCAAGAGTATTCAGAAAGACGTGAGAAGATTTCTTCAAAAGTTAGTTCGATGACTGTGGAGAGAATCAAGACATTTCTAAGATTTTGCCCACGTTTAAGAATCAATGGTTTAAAAAAAAAATTAAGAGCCCTTGAATTCTTTCACCCTTTTCAAAATAGGTGTGACATTTCTTCTAAGCCAATCTCTACCCCAAAGAAAAGAATGGTCTCATTTTTAGAATTACTGGCTGTTTGTTTGAACTGAAGAATTAGTTGCATTTCAAAATAAAGACATGCCTAATGAAATGATTAAAACATACAGAGCATTAAATTATAAGCAGATGGGGGAGAGAGTAGGGTAGGGAGGGGGGAGGTGAGTTTGCTAGAGACCTGAGTCCACAAAAGCTGACAGCTTTGGGTTTTTCTCAGCAATACAGAAGATGATTGTTTAAGCAGAGAAGATAAAAAAACCTCTGAAAGATAATTTGTTTTTTTTATAGACAGCAACATACAAGAAGAGCCAGAAAGTAAAATCCTAACAGTTTAAAGAGCTGGCACTCTTGACGGCACCCGGACATTCACAATGGTGTCTGGAAAAAGAACCAGGCATCACCTTACACGTGTATCAGAGTATTGAGAGGTCCCGTGATGGCAAAGCCGACCAGACAGGCCCAGAACAGTCACGGTTCAGGGTTCGGATTCTTCATAAGAAAGACGGACATCTCCTTGGCTGTCGTCTGGTCTTGGTTATTCATAAAACGCCTTCTCTCCTCCCTTCTTCCTGAAATTTATCATTTTAAACGCTGCTCTGTAGAGTTAAAAGGTAAGGGCTGGATGAGATAGAGTCTAGAACAGCTAAGAAAGCAGCAGCGAGCGGGAGCAGTTCACAGTGGGTACGAATTGTCTGTTAAGTGGCCCTTTATGATTAGCAGAATCCATGAGAGTTTTATCTCGAATTTCTATCAGGCCGCATTCAGCAGGAGCTGGTTCCTTGGAAACGGGCATTTAAAAAAAAAAAAGCGTGTTGTGTCTCCGTCTTTCCTGTCTACACAATGGCAGTTTCGACCCATTGGAGCCGCCTTCCGGGCAGCAGCCCCGATCGTCTCCGACTGTGGGCTAATGGGTGTAGGTCTAGAGATCAAGAAAATAAACCCTCGAAGATTTTGTCTAATTTTTAAAAGGCATCTCAGCTTCCTGAGGGGTGTGTCTTCTTTGTCCCGGATGCCTGCCAGGGGGAGACAGCACCTCGGTGGCGACGGCAGGGAGCGCCTAGGGCCCGCCAGGCCGGAGGGAGTGTGAGGGCCACTTTCAGAACCGAAACCGTCCTTGCTGTCATCGCAGTCGCGGCCGGCCCTCTGAGAAGGCCTTCGGATGAGGGCGGAGGTGACCAAGAATGATTCGGCCGCACTAGCTCCTCGAGCATCTCTCGATCCAGCGTCGCTGTGAAAACCCCCAGGCTGCTGGCTCTGCAGGGCCCGCTGCACCCGGCATGTTACATCGGGCAGAGAGAGGTTGCCGGCTCAGTTTATGGGGGTTCAGAGGCGCGGGTGGGTTTGCCCTTGCCCTGGACACCTCGCCTGGGGACGAGAGGAGGTGCAGAGGGACAGGAAAGTCTAAGGAAGGAAAAGCACAAGGCAAAGCGGAAGACATATGTCCCCAGGCCCTTAGCTCCAAGCCGTGTTTCCAGCCAGGGGGCACCTGAGGGGTGGCTCACGCTGCAGACACCTGGCCCATCCTCAGAGGAGCCTGCAGTGGGCAGGGAATTTGTATTTTTACCAAGTTTCCCGGTGATCCCGGTGCCGGGGGCCCATGGGCCTCACGCTGAGAAGCAATGACCTAGAGGTGACCCATCGGAGTGGACTAGGGCGGTGCTGGGGGTGGCGTCTTCCCAGAGGAGGGGAGGCTTTGAGTGGCCCCGACTTTGATCACAGCTAGGGTCATTTATCTCACCTCTTCACCTGATTAAAAATCGATGGCAATCGACTGAAATTGGGGGGGAGGGGGCACAAACCCAGAAACATAACCGGCCATTGTTGGGACCAGGGGCCTGGAGGGGAAGCAGACAAGAAGGAGTCATGTCCTGCTGGTCCTTGGGAAGATGAACCGAGGGTCGGATTAGCTCTGAGGTCCCCCGGGGTGCAGCAAGGGGCCCTGACGGCGGGAGGAGGCTGGGGGGCGCCTCCCGCAGCCTGTCGTCCAGCTGCCCGGATGGAACAGCTGAACTTCAAAAGGAGCAAGGGGTTTGCCCAGGGGCAGCTGTGGATCTGAGGGTGGGTGGGGTGCCCAGGGGAGCTGAGAACAG